TAGAAAGCAGGGCCTTTGTCTGTCTTGACCACGTAGGTATTCTCTTTAGTGTCTGATACGGAGTTGGTGCAAAATAAATATTTGCTGAATAAGTAAATGGGTGAACTAATGAATTGGGGCATGGCTGGAGAATTGGACCTATGTGTGTGTTCTTGAATAGACAGGTGGTAAGTTATAAAACTTACAGAAGTTCAGTTTCTCTGGAAAGAGTTGGTATAATGGCAGAGAGGAAGAAGTGATGCTAGGAAAACCAGAGCCAAATCCCAGAGTTCTTGAATGTCGTGGAGTGGAGTGTCTGAAACCTCTTTTCTGGTCAATGGATGGCTACTGGTGATTTTTGCATAGTCAATGCGTGCTTTAGCAATCCCTCCTTTATTACTAGCTATGGAAAACTCTTTCTCTGTCAGAGGAGCCTCATTTACACACAGGTTCAAGAACAGTGTAACTTCTGAATGTCAGCAGGCTGTTGATTTAGTCAATGTTCATTTCTTTTTCCATGCAGCGTGACTACCGCATAGTCATGCTTCTGGGCTGGCAAGAGAAAATGCTTGCCTTCGTTCTTCACAGCTTGAGAGGAAATGGCCCGAGCCTTCTTGCAGGCATTTTTACCAGTATTTCTGACATCTCAGTGGCCTCCTCTAAAAGTCAATACCATCTTCATGTCAGATTATTCCCCTTTCCTCCATTGTTCTTTATGTCACAATTTATTTTTCTAATGCATAGAGTTACCCCCATATCAGAGTTACTCGCTCCTGTGGTTTGTTTTAATTAGGTCTTAAAGGAAGTCCAGTCTGAAGCCTTTAAATGTAGTGTGCTGTTGGTTTGTTTCATTGGAGGAGTGGGTAGGTCCTTCCTTAGCTGAAACCTAGCACTGACAAAGCCTTGTAATGACCGCCATCCAATCATATGACATTATATGTAGCATGCACATGTTTATGTGGACTTTTCTTACCACTTTGGATGTGTGTATTTAATTTATAAAATGGAAGACAGAGATATCAAGCTTCCAGTTAAAACAGTGGTTTATTTTATAGACCCTGGCAGCAAATTCTAGTTTCCTAAACTGATTCACAATAGTTTAAAAGCCAGGGCCAGTTCATGAAGTTTTATGGTTCAGCCTTAAGTCATGGAATCTTTTTTATAGATTGTAGTATCTTCAATTCTGGATTATAAAGGAGGAAAGCACCAAATAAGCAAAACGTCAAATTTGAGAAAAGGACCCAGTTTGTTGACATTGACTGTTTTCAAGAGCTACTGAATCACATTCATTGTGATAACCACATTGGAAGCTGTCAATATGAGTGATGATTTCAGAGAGGTTTTTATTAAATGTACAAACTTTTAGTATCTCATAGCGGAGGTCCGAACCCCTGCGCCCTGGATCAGTACCAGTCCTATTAGGAACGGGGCTGCACAGCAGAACATGAACCTTACCACCCGAGCTCTGCTTCCTGTCAGAACAGTGGAGGTCTTAGGTTCTCACAGAGGCGCCAACCCTATTGTGAAGTGTGCATGTGAGGGATCTAGGTTGTGTGCTCCTTGTGAGAATCTTGCGTGATGATCTTAGGTGGAACAGTTTAATCTTGAAACTATCCCCGTACCCCATCCATGGAAAAATTGTCTTCCATGAAACTGGACCCTGGTGCCAAAAAGGTTGGGGACCACTGCCTCATAATTTATGAAGCATACTCACATGTAATATACCTTTTAGCTTATGTATACAAGATTTACTTCTTACCAGTTTTTTCTCTTTTCTAAGACATATCGTAGATATACTCTACATGTAAAGTAGGTAGAAAATAAAAAGATTAATATACCATATGATCCATATCCACAGAAAGCTCTAATGGGAGAAGCAAATATACTGATAAATATATACAGTACAGAATGGTAAGCACCAATAGAGGAACAGGGTTGAGATTGCATGTGGTGCCTAACTATGGCTACAGGGATGGGAAAGGGTCTCTTAGAGAAGGTAGGATTTAAGCTTGGCCTTATAGGACATGACGTATTTCAGTAAGAAAAGACAGAGGGACAAAGGTTCTCTAAGTCAGTGGAATATCCTGAGCCAAAGCATAAAAGTAGGAAAATTAAGAACATAAATATTTATTTGTATTCCATTAACTTTAACGTCTAGTGCTGTAGAATCTAACCTGTTTTACTCATAATTTGTGGATTGGCTGTTACCCAGAGAAAGTTTTCACCAAAAGTACCTACTCTATCCTCTTAAATGATGTGTTCATGGGAGCTATAAACTCTACTCTTTGTTAATAGGAACATATTCACATCCTTGAAACAGATCATTTATATATTGTATGCTATTATTTATTTTTTTCTAGTGCTCTAGTGACTGCTGAACACATTCATACATATTTCACAATTGAATCCTTCCAAAATTCTCCATAGTAAGTGACGGTATGTAGTTCTTTTGAGCATTTTTTCTTTAGGGAAAATTAAAGCACCAATGTTTAAACAACTTTTTCCAGGTTCACTTGGCCAATAAATGCAAACCCACACACAATTTTGAACCCATTCTTTATACCTATATAGTTATTACTATGTAGATGCATACAATTCATATTTATCTGTATTGATATGTAAGAGATTGAGAAAATTAAAGTTGAGAAAGGTGAAGTCCGAAATTAGTGATTTTGACAGTCAAATTAATTCTGGGTGCACAGAATTGAGGACAAAAGTAAAAGTGGCGGGAAGAGCTCATTTCAGGCAAGATTTAATGGAAGCAAAGTCAGTAGCTAAGAATATGCAAATCACTTTTAAAAAGGGAAGGCTTTACTATTATGGGATGAAGGTAAGGATGTCAGGTCTTAAAACAGGGCAGTTTATGTTTTTGTGTTAGGAGTCTTTATATTTCACAAGACTGCAGGGACTGGGCACTTGTGAGTCTACTACTTCTATTTTTTAATAATTGAGGGCAAAATTGTCAAAAGCAGACGCAGCTGAATCTTACATGCCGTTCTGTAATTTTATATTGCTCAATAACAATTAGTTTTCATTTCTTCACACTTTAAAATGAATTGAACATAGTTTAGATTCCACCATGAAAAAGATAACTAATGTGAATTTTTATTTTTCTGATGTGAGGTAAATGTATCTGTCTATTGAAATTCTCCACGACTAAAGCATATGTAAACATGTGAAATGGGTGGATCACGAGGTCAGGAGATCGAGACCATCCTGGCCAACACGGTGAAACCTCATCTCTACTAAAAATACAAAAATTAGCTGGGCATGGTGGCGGGCGCCTGTAGTCCCAGCTACTCAGGAGGCTGAGGCAGGAGAATCGCTTGAACCCTGGAGGCAGAGATTGCAGTGAGCCAAGATCGTGCTATTGCATTCCAGCCTGGCAACAGAGAGAGACTCTGTCTTAAAAATAATTTTAAAAAATGTGTTAAAATGGGTAAATTAATTCCATTAAAAAAAATGGATCATTGCTTGTTACATGGAGATCACTGTATTAAGTGGTTTAGGAGACAGTTGGCAGTGTCTGTGTAGTGGTGGTTCAAAATTATTTTTTATTAATGAGAATCAAATATTAATGAGAATCAAAGTTGTAAGTTTGGAATAAAATATCTCAAAGCTGTGTGGTAGAGCATTATGTGCTGTTCTTAGCATCTTCATGCATTGGAATAATTTATCCTTTTGATTTTTTGGAAAGTTTTGTCTTATTTTAATTGACGCATAAGTATACATAATTATGTGTACAGGTGTTGTTTCCATATGTGTATTCATTATATGATGATTAAATCTGGGTAATCAACAAATCTGTTGCCTAAAACATTTACCATTTATTTTGGTGACATCATTAAAAATGCTTTCTTCTGGCTATTCTGAAATATATAATACAAAATTGTTAACTCTTGTTATCCTACTGTGCAACAGAACACCAGAAATTTTTCCTCTTCTTTCACTGTAACTTTGTACTCTTTGACCAACCTCTTCCTGTCTCTCCCTTTCTTATGTTTCTCTCTGGCAGTCACCATTCTACTCTCTACTTCTATGAGATCAACTGTTTCTGATTCCATGTAAGAGTGAGATCATGTGGTATTTGTCCTTCTGTGTCTGGCGTATTTCACTTAACATAATATCCTCCAGGTTGATCCATGTTGTTGCAAATGATGGGGTTTCATTATTTGTTATGGCTGAATAATATTTCATTGTGTATATGTACCACATTTTCTTTATCCATTCATCTGCTGATGGGCACTTAGGTTGATTTCATGTCCTGGCTATTGTGAATAGTGCTACAGTAAACATGGGAGTACAGATATAGCTTCGACATACTGACTTCATTTCCTTTGGAAATATATACCCAGCAGTGAGATTGCTGGATCATATGGTAGTTCTATTTTTAATTTTTTGAGGAAACTCCATACTGTTTTCCATAATGGTCTTACTAGTTTACATTTCTACCAACAATGTATAAGGGTGCCCGTTTCTCCACTTCCTTGTCAACGCTTGTTATCTTTTATCTTTTTGTTAATAACCATTCTAAGTGGAATGAAGTTGTATTTCATTGTGGGTTTGACTTGCATTTCCCTGGTGATTAGTGACGTGGAGCATTTTTTCACACACCTGTCGGCCAATTGTATATCTTCTTCTGAGACATGTAATTTCAGATCTTTTACCCATTTTTTAACCTTTTTTTTCCTGCTATTGAGTTTTTTGAGCTTTTTATATATCTTATATATCCTAGGTATTAACCCCTTTTGGATATGAATATATAGTTTACAAGTATTTTCTTGCATTTTGTAGGTTGTATCTTCACCTGTTGATTGCTTTCTTTGCTGTGCAGAAGTTTTTTACTTTGATGTAATCTCATTTGTCTATTTTACTTTTATTGCCTGTCTGATAAAAAAAAAAAAATCTTAGGCTCCTAGTTTCGTTCTTAAACTGTGAGATTTTGGATTGATCTTTGTATTTCTCTGAGTGTGATTTAGAAATATTTGCCTTCATTTGGTCTTTTTTTGTTTTCTCTTTAGCTTAACCAGCTCGAAAAAGCAATGGAAGCAGCTCACACATTTTTCGTGGCAAACCCTGAGCACATGGAAATGCAGCAGAACATTGAGAATTACAGAGCAACAGCTGGTGTTGAAGCATTGCAACTGGTAGACAGAGAAGCCAAACTGCACTTGGTAAGCTCTGTGGACCCCTGCCCTCACCACAGGGAGCTAAGTGCTCCTAAGTTTCATTTGAGTCGAAGCAAATTTCTATGAATGGATATCTCATAAAATTTATTCTCAAATTTTAGTAACATTTTTAGACTTTCAGAGTTCTCAGAATATAATGATCAGGCCTGAAAAAATTGAGATGATTTTTTAAAATTTTAATTAAAATTTTAAAAGTTGAAATAAAAAAACTAAAAAATTAAAAATTTTAAAATTAAGAGAAAATAAAAATTAACCTAGAAATTTGATAAAATGTGATAAAAACTAGAACATCATATAATTATCTATAATCTTCTCTGAACCTTTCCAATACTTTTATTTTATACCTAGGAGGTGAGGCCAGTGTAAATTGTTCAGGATTATACTGTGATTTTCCAGCTCCCAGTCCAGTGGTTTGCCCATTGTACCTATACATTTCAAACTGAGGTTTTAAAAAGTGGTGTAATTCTTTGTATACACTAAACATTACTTGAAATCACATGTTGAAAGCCCTTTTTTTTTTTTTTAAATTTTTGTTTTTGTTTTTGAGACAGAGTCTTGGTCTGTCACCCAGGCTGGGGTGCAGTGGCACAATCTCGGCTCACTGCAACCTCCACCTCCTGGGTTCACACCATTCTCCTGCCTCAGCCTCCCGAATAGCTGGGACTATAGGCGCTTGCCACTACACCCGGCTAATTTTTTGTATTCTTTAGTAGAGACGGGGTTTCACTGTGTTAGCCAGGATGGTCTCGATCTCCTGACCTCGTGATCCGCCCGCCTCGGCCTCCCAAAGTGCTGGGATTACAGGCGTGAGCCACCGCGCCTGGCCTTTTTAAAAAATTTTTGACATCACCATTCTCAACATGTAGCCTCCAAAATTACTGCAGAAAAGGATAAGGGAAGACTTTAGGAAACATTTTTTTTTAAAAAAACACAGGCAAGGCCTAAAAGTGGATGTCACTTCCACCGACATCTGTTGTCCTGCACTTGTTACATGGCCCTACCTATAGGCAAATGATTTCAAAAATACAGTCTTGCATGTGCTAAGGGAAAAAACCGAAACTGACTGATCACATAGCAGCCTATTTGCTCAGTAAGACCCCTCTCACTTGTAAGTATTTGAAGCCAGGCATGCTGTTCTTTATCTCCCAGTGCAACTCTTCTTCATCCCTCCTCAGCACAAGCAGTCAGTACCCCACCTACCGAAATGATCCTCAGTCAGCATAAACTATTCTCTGAAACTAAGAGGTTGTTTGTTTGTTTTGTTTTTTGTTTTGTTTTGTTTTGTCTGTTTCATTGCAGGAGAGTTACAATGCAGGAGTTAAACATTATGAGGCTGATGACTTTGAGTTGGCTATCAGGCACTTCGAACAAGCCCTAAGAGAATATTTCGTTGAAGATATAGAATGCCGAACCCTATGTGAGGGGCCTCAGAGATTTGAAGAATATGAGTATTTAGGGTATAAGACTGGTCTGTATGAAGCTATTGCAGGTAAAGCTTACTTTTTCATTTTGTTTGTTTCTTGATTATAAAAATACTACTTGCGATTTATAAAAAACTATTCCAGCAAAATAGAAGAATATATTGTAAAAATAAAAGACTCTCATGTGTCTATCCCAGCCTATCTCCTATAGAGAAATTTATGTAGTTAAAATTTTGGTGACTGTCTTCCCAAGCTTTCTCAGGTCCTTATGTAAAATATTTGTGTATTTATTTATAGTTATTATTTCATTTCTTATAAAATAGGACAATACTATATATATTGTTTTTCAACTTTTGTTGTTTTATTTTATGCTTAACAATATATTGTGGACTTCTTCTCATGTAAGTACATAGAGTCGTTTTATTGTATTTAATGGCTGGGTAATGCTCTGTTGTATAAACACATCGGAATTTAATTGACTAGTCCTTTACTGATGAGTATTTAAGAGGTTGAAATTGTTCATTATTATAAACAATGTAGTAGCGAACACTTTGGTATAGTCTTCAACTACTTAAAATGTTTTGTTATTTAATAAGAATTTAATATATTACAAAGCAGCATTTAAAATAGTAGGTAATGCACATTATAGAATAATTTGGGAGATTGGCTAGTTAACCACTTATGAGGGGAAAGTGGGTTCTCTCCTGTATACCTTACACAAAAATAAGTTATATTTGTAATAACAATATAAGTGTAAAATATAGAACTGTTAGAAGAAAATGAGGGAAAATATTTGTATAATATTAGGAGAAGAAACGCTCTTCTTTTCTTTTTTTGAGACGGAGTTTCGCTCTTGTTGTCCAGGCTGGAGTACAAAGGTGTGATCTTGGCTCACCGCAACCTCCGCCTGCTGGATTCAAGCAATTCTTCTGCCTCAGCCTCCGGAGTAGCTGGGATTACAGGCATGCACCACTACACCTGACTAATTTTGTATTTTTTGTGGAGATGGAGTTTCTCCATATTGGCCAGGCTGGTCTTGAACTCCTGACCTCAGGTGATCCGCCCAAAGTACTGGGATTATAGGCGTGAGCCAGCGTGCCCAGCAGAAAAGCTCTTCTAAACATGACAAAAGACAAGAAAAATAAAAAACAAGTTAAAAACTTTACCTAAGATTTATAAGTACAGATTTATACAATAAACCAAGCTGATCTACAAACACAGATAGAAAGTATTGCAAAATATTTTGTAGGCAAAGTGTTAATATCTTTCATATTCAAAGAGAGCCTGTAAATTATTATTGTTCATAGTAATTTACTTCTTAATTATCAGTAGTAATAATAACCAATGC